CCCGGGCGCCCCTCCCCGCCGCCACCATGCTCTGCTGCCGGCAGCTCCGCTCCCTCCGCCGGGGCGCACGCGTGGGTTTGCCGGAGGGTGCTGCAGTACTTTGGGGGACCGGGGGGCTGCCCCCGCCCCACCAGCTGCCCGCAAAACGCATCTCTATCCGGGAAAAGTTCTCCTCGCCTTTCAGTCCGTTCTCCCTTCCCTACCGCTTCTTCCGGAGCCGTCACTCTTCCAGCCTGACAAAATGCTTTCTTAAATCCTGCTTCTAATACGAGTAGCCACCAGTTTAATTCCCCCTCCGAATACCATGATCTTGTACCTTTTTTCTGTGCTGGAGATCCTGAAAAAGCAGTTGTCTCCTGAAAGTTTAGTCACACAATAGTGTGAACTATCATTATCTTGTGAAAGCTCTCTTTTAGTGGATATTTTGACATTTAGTGGCATACTGACATTGCAGAAAACACGGCCCGTCTGTCTCAGAAATTTTAGAGCTCACTGCGTATTTCTCAGGACATCTTCACAAAAATGATGCCAAGGTCCATCTCTTTATATCTTGGCAATACATTTTTTTCTCCTTCTCAGTAGATGTTAAGTGGACATAGACTCCAGCTGAATGCTATGCCTGGCAGAAAAGAAGAGATTGTCGTAGAAGGAATAAGAGATAGAATAATTATCTCTCCTGTGTTAAAACAAAACCTTAACTTTTATTTTTTCTTTATAGTCGACTTCATTAGCATATTTGTGCTTTGCATGAAGGCTATTCTCCACGTGCTTCCCATTAGTCACTTTTTTTGCAAGGGATGCTAACCTTTGTATGCTCTCACTTTGTGAAAGTGCCGTTTCATTTTGTTTTCTACTCCTTTTTTTGCACCGTTGGTTTGTTGGTTTTTTTTCCCCCAGTTCCCAGTACCTAGCATCAGCAGGGTGACGCCTGGCGGTGGGAGCGCAGGGGAGGAGGAGGAGACTGACTGTGGCAAGGTGTACCGGGCCGCTCTTACGCTCCGGCTAAATGAGAATTTGTAGTCCAAAGGGCTAAAAGCATTATCTTATTCCAAGTGAACTCCATGGTAAAGCTTTCCTCAGAAGTCCTGGTGTAAGTTAGTGTTATGGGGACTGCATTTATAGACCAAAAGGTAGCTCAAGATGCTGAGAGATTTCAGCATCTGGATATCTGATCTTAAGGATAGAATATCCTTACGATATCCTTAGCGTTTTCATAAAACACACAAGAGCTAAGCTCCTGCATAAGCATTCTCAGAAGATGAGCAAAAAGCCAGCCAAAGTGAACCTGGCTATTAAATAAGTACCTAGTAAGCTGCTCTGCACAGATGCTCGTAGCTAGATCTCTGCCCAAGCAATCCCCTCTCTAGTCTCTGCATCCTGAGTGCTATTAGGTGCCTGTCTGTGAATAAAAATGGAAAGCTCATTTTATGTCGGTGCTGACAAAGTGGAAATAGATTCAAATGCTAGGGAAAAGTTTCCTTTCATGGCTATCCTAAGGCATGACTTCCAAGTCATTCAAAGTACCGCTTGTATTAGAAGTGGTTACTGGAAAGCAAACTGCATGGCAGTCCTGCGGACTATTACATCTAGGTGATACCACTGATGCTGACAGCTTTGAACTGGTATTTATCCAAAGTGCTATGCAAGAAGTGCGAGACTTAAGGTAGGAAACACCACAGGAATCAGGAGTTGATTCAAAATGAGATAATTTCTCTTGGCACATGCAGAATGGGGATGATCTCGCTGACAAAAATTTAAAGCTGTGCAGATTTGGCTAGCTCCAAATATTTAGAAGAGTGTCAATATCTTTAACTATTGGAGGAGCTGGGTGAGAAAGAGTAATACTTCTGTGGTAGCTGAAGTGTGACAGGGTATTTTCCAGAGGCGAAATACATTCTGGTGACTCTGTCTTAGCCTGTCTGTGTTTTAGTCCTTCTCCATTCTGGGCAGAGTCTGTGTGTGGTTGTTGACAAAGGACGTGAAGGAATGGCAGATTGCATTTTCTGGAGAAAAAAATTTATTGCATCATTGACAAGATTGCCTGACAGTGCTTTAACCTCGAGGACATTTTCACCACAGTTTATACAGGGAGAAGTCTGTGGTCAGGGCAGTTCATCTGCTTCCGCAACTGCTCTTGAGAAGAGGAGCTCTGAGAACAACTTGCCAAATGGTTGGAAAAGTGGTGCAGTCTTCCAGTAACACACAGGCCTACATGTAATCATACTAACACTTACTCTCACTCTGAACTTGTTGAATAAGCTAAGTGTAACTATTACTGTCAGCAAGATGACTCTAGCATGCCCTTGGGTGACTCAGAAATGATGCTGCATGGGGGAAGTGGTGTAGAAGGGTGGAAACCATTCCCTGCAATTTAAGCAAGTGCAAATGGGCTTGGTTCAGCTGGATTGAAACGTTGAGACAGTGGCTGGGTTTCTGGGATGGCACTGGAGGGGGTTCAGCAGAGGGTTACCAAGGTCCTGCAGGGCTTACAGCACATGCTTCCTGAGGAGAGACAGGGAGGAACTGGGCTTGTTTAGTTTGGTGAAGAGCGGACTAAGGGGTGATGTAGTAGCAACCCTCAAACACTTGAAGGTACAAAGGTGAGGAAGCCCAACTCTTATTGGTAGTGCCAGAGAGTGTAAGAACAGTCAGGAATCACAGATTGCAGCTCGAAGGTTTATACTGGATATTAGGAAAAAAAATCTTCACTGTGAGGATAGTGAAAATCCAGAGAGATTGTGGAATCATGGAAATTTTCAAAATTTTGCTATACAGAGTGGTGGCTGACTTCACAGAATCACTGAATAGTTGAGGTTGGAGGGGGACTCCAGAGATCTAGTCCACCTCCTCCACTCCCCTGGCCTGAAGCAGTGTTAACAGAACAGGTTCCTCATGGCATTGGCCTGTTGGGTTTTGAATATCTCTGACGACTGAGACTCCACAACCTCTCTAGGCAAATTATTCCAGTATTTGATCACTGTCACAGTAATTTTTTTTTTCTTTTTCCTTTTTTCTTATGTTTAAATGGAATTTCCTGTATTTCAGTTTGCGCCCATTGTTCGTTGTCCTTTCTGTGAGCTCCACAGATGAAAGTCTGGCTCCATCTTCTCTGCTCCCCTCCTCCCTCAGGTATTTATACACATTGTTAAGAGCCTCCCTGAGCCTTCTCATCCCCAGGCTGAATAGTCTCAGGTCTCTCGGCCTGTCCTTGTAGGAGAAATGCTCCAATCCCTTAATCATCTTCATGGTGACCTGCACTGAAGTAACTTCAGTACATCCATATCTTGCTTATACTGAACCCAGAACTGAACCCAGCACTGCAGATGGGTCTCAAAGGGGCTGAGAAAAGGGAGAGGATCACCAGTCTCAACCAGCTGGCCATGTTCCTAATGCAGCCTAGGACTTGATCTGGTATTGGTAGGGGTCTTGCTTTGGGTGGGACAGTGGACACAGAATTTAGCTGCATTAATGTTTTTGTCTATGAAGATGTGTGAGATGCCAACAAGAAGACTCTTGCTCAAAATTCCAAACCCCAGCAATCTGTGAAAAGGAGTATTAAAAAACGCGTACTACAAAGAACCATGTATGAACTTGGAAAATTATGAAATAATTTGAAAATTCATTTTGAAATGCAATCAAATCTAGCTGATTTTGAAAATTGTAGCATAAGAAACTGCAGTGTTGGCTCCTAAATAGGACAGAGCTGATTTGGGAACGGAAGCGATAAGTGCCCTCTCTTCATATGGTGAGCGGGAGTTGCAGATGCACCTGGCAGGGAATGCTTGTTCCTTGTGGGCTAAGGCCATCTGAGAACAGGGACATCAGACAACATATTTGGTTTACTGTCATTTAATAAGCTCCTTTATCCAAGGGAATATGATAGAAAGAGATCAGATCAGCAGACAACTGCTGTATTCCCTGCTGAATGAATGTAAAGTAAAGGACCAGCTGTTCTTAGTGAGT